TGCTTTTCTGTACAAAATTTGCCAACATTGCTATGTGGTTGCTAAGCTGTTCTAGAAGGCCAGAGTCAAAAAAGTCCACACTCTATGTATTTACAGCAATACAAATAATAAGCATATTTCTGCAAGCGTCTAAAGAAATAAACATTTACAACACAAAACTACCCTCTAGTGGTGATAGTGGTAAAGGAAGAACTCCATGGAGGATTTCAATAGTTGCAGTAACTACTCAACATGTTAAATGTGTTTCCTGCATCAAACTGTGTGGTTTTTAAGCTCGCACCATACAACTGTGGTTCTCACACCTTGCTAAATGTGAAGTTCTGGTTAGTCCAGAACTCCTGACTCCAGTCTTCAGTCTCCTGTCTCAGATGCCTCAACTTCCTTTCCAGTGGTGTCTCATTCTCTGGGATGTGGTATCTGATCGGCCTCAGGTTTGACAGTCTGTCTGGTGGACCAATCCAGTCATATTTTGATGTTACTTCTGGACTGAATCCAGTCCTCTACAATGAAAAGATTAAAACAAGGCAGCATAAGACATTTCCACAAAACAAAACTATAAATCTGGTTAAAATTAATTAAACTGGATCTACAATAGTAACTTTTTTTTCTAATTTAAATGATATATAAATGATTAAATTTCAATAATCATTAGGGAACGTAAGAGAAAAGGGAACGAAATATGTGCATTTCTAAATTTCAAATAATAATAGCAATAGTACATTTAATTGAACGACACAAACCTCTGATCGCTTGACATGTTTCGGTGGTTGGCTTGCGCTTTGCCGATGACCTCGACAGCGCAGGGACCTAACGCAACGCAGAGACCTACATATTAAATAACTGCCTGTTTTTACATTCATCGTTGATGAGTCATTGACCTTGACCAAAAATAATAAGTACAATTTCTCCACTGGCCTCCGTTACAGCATGAATCTTCAGTACATTTTCTTCTTCTTCTTCTTCTTCTTCTTCTTCTTCTTCATTGGCGGTTGGCAACCTAACTGATTGGTGCATTACCGCCAACGACTGGAATTTCAGTTCATTTTTAACATGGTAGATACATTTAAAACAAAAGTCCTTCACCTCGCTCATGCATCAGTACTTCCTACAAGAGAGGATATATATTATTGCTTTCTAAGAAAATAATAATAATAATAATAATAAAACGTAACATATCGCGTTCTGTAACGAGTGCATTGTGTTTTATGTGAATTATATTTCCAACAAATTTTTTTGTAACTGGCGCGTTCTACTTCCTGTACTTCTGATTTAATCAAACTGGACGACCAAGACATACCATGAGTTACGAAACGTTTTTGTGACTATCCCTTTATTTATATATGTGTGTGTGTGTGTGTGTGTGTGTGTGTGTGTGTGTGTGTGCGCGTGTGTGTGTGTTTGTGTGCGTCTGTGTGTGTGTGTGTGTGGTCTGTGTGTGTGTCTGTGTCTCTGTGTGTGTGTGTGTGTGTGTGTGTGTGTGTGTGTCTGTGTCTGTGTCTGTGTCTG